GCCAAGCCTGCTACAAAAGTTGTGCTACTCCACCTCTACCAGTCTCTTCCACTATTTTCGCGACCTTCAGGAGCCTATGAAGTTTCGTGACGTCTGGTGATGAGCATATCCTAGCTGAGGGCAAATGATATATTTAGGATTTCAAGCCATTCCGTTAATCAGAGTAAGTTAGCTTTCTATTTCACTCACTTTCAAAACAATTTGAGCAGTGCTTCTTCCTTTTTCCTGGGCTCTATGTAGTATGGCTCGAAACAGAAATTTGTTTTCCGTTTTTTTGCATTCGGCTTTCATAGGACGCTTACAGATCTCACCTTATCCACCAACCCCTTGCTCATCTCCAACTGGTTTCTGATTTTTAGGACTGTTCTTTTATCAAATTACGATTTTTTGCTCAGATGACACCCATTCTAGTGCATGCCTCGCCGAACCAATCTGACGCAATTTCTACTAGTGACTCCTCCGGTAATTAATTCAGAATCATAAGGCAGACGGAGAGACGACATAGCGCTCCACATGCACCTGGTTAGGATGGATGAAAAAAGCTCAGGATGCCGTGACACTACCACTACGGCGATAATATATGACTTCGACTTCGATGGTGGATTTGATTACGAGGCCGACACACTGGTCTAAACATCTGGAAAGACTGCAATTTACATGGACTACATTGCAAGCATTCAAATATCCTTGCTTTTCCGAAATGCAGTCGATTGCTTAGCACAGTCTAGGATGTTTTGGTGTAACTACGTAATTGGTCCATGCTAATATGTTCCTTTTATTTGGGTAGAGATCGCGACATCAGATCCATACAGTACAAAAAGACGTCTTTCATCTTTCAGGAGCCGGCTTTGCAGCTCACCCTTCCAAGGATCTGCATCAGCAAAAGAACCATCGTGCCCCAACCGTATATGTACATAGATAACCTCCTGAAACGACCACTACATAGTCATAAGGAGCACTCACGCAGTAGATACTCTATTCCTTTCAATTACAATCTGACGGGTATCGGAATTGTTGACCATGAGTTTCAAGCTCCGAAAATTTATACCAAAAAGCGTCAAATGACTTAAAGGCATGCCCCAGGATCGCACTGGTGTGGCTCTTGCACACGAATGTGAATGTATTGGTGCCAAGTGGGCCGGCAGTAAAGAAAAAAGGAAAAGAATCCGTCGAAAACGCTCAGGTTGAGGGCTCACTCACCTTCCTAATTGGCTGTGCTAAGGGAACGAGAGACTAAGCGCGAAGAGGAGAGTATGGGGCGAGAGAGCGCATCAGATGAGAGAGCACCAGACAACGGCCTGATAAGAGAGCTCGTTCGCTGCAGCTCGAGCAGCTTACTTTGCAAGCCCAAAGCGTTCTTGTCGGTCGAATTCCGTGCACGTGAACGCCACATTTGTGATTGTCCCCTAGGGTTCTATACTTCTGACCGAAGAGAAGAGTTCACACGACCTCTGCCTGGGTTGTGCCTTTAATTCTAAAGCATTTCAAAATACCATTTCGGTCTTTCCAACCTATCGCCAGCCTGAAGTAGCATTTTTGCTGAAGCACACGAAACATATTGAGCCAACTCATACGCGTTTACCACTGTTAAATTTTATATTTTAAATTACGTCCGACTTTAAAAAACGCTTTTCATGCCTGACAAAAGTGATTGGCCCATAGAAACTTTGAAAAGCGATCCGAGTTGACTCTGAAGCGTTTTGAAATAAATTTTCGGAACCTCACTGTCGTTTAATGTTTAGTATGTCCCATAAGGCAGGGAATGTTGAGATCTCAAACGCTCGTCGAGTAACCCTATTTTCCGGTGTATAAGCCCGCGCTAGTATCATGTAAAAACACCTCCACTGGTGCAGTGTACTTGAGTACATCTAGAGTCAACCGTAACATGCCCATAGGGGTAATTCGATATGCTGATCACGAAAACGACATTCGTTTTTAGCGGTGGCGGCATCTGGCGCCAGTTGGCGCCACCTTGTCACGACCCTTGTTTTCGCCAAAATCGGTGTAAACTTCAGTATAGGGGTTATTTGGGACCCTGATTACGAATATGACATTCGTTTTTGGCGTTAACGTTGTTTAGTGCACATGTCTCGGTTGGAGAGCGCAGACGAGCAGAAAATAGGCGTCAAACAGCGCCAGCGCCTATAATGAATGTCATATTCGTAATCAGGGTCCCAAATAACCCCTGTACTGAAGTTTACACCGATTTTGACGAAAACAAGGGTCGTGACAAGGTGGCGCCAACTGGCGCCAGATGGCGCCAGCGCTGAAAATGAAAGTCATTTTCGTGATCAGGGCATCGACTTACCTCTATAGGCAAATTTGCGGTGGTTTCTAAGGTGTACAAAGTTACACTGCGCGTGGGGGGTGTTTACGTGAAATCGGCGCGGGCTTATACACCGGAAATTAGGTATTTTTCGCCTGATCCTTTACGTTCTCGCGCGCGATATTCACTCTCGCCACCCGCGAGCCGTCTGTGCTCTCCGCGCGTACATTCACTATCGGCTCTACTCTCGCACAGCAGAGAGCGATGGTCGAGGAATTCTCGACCGTTATTCACCCTGCCTGGATTGATCCGCCTGAAT